CGCTGTTTCTCTTTAGTTTTCTCTAACTGGAGTATAAAGTTGTTAAATTATTCAGCCATTTAACTAACAAAGTACCTGTGATTTAATTTCTTGTTAACAAGTTACGTGTGTTGGATCGTGTGCGCCTGTGCTCACGTGTTACCGCTTGATAATTCTTAATCTATTTTTCTTATATTTTTTTAGGAAATACTTATGGCACAATCATGCTTAATCCCTGTCTCCCTTAATAAATCCCAAACAATGAACTAATTTTCATGGCAGCTAATCTGAAAGTCGTTCTCTTTAAAGGTCAACCTACCTCTTAGATTTTCATTTCGTACTATCAGCAAAAGCAATATGGCTGCTGAGATTCAAGTGAAACTATAGTCTGTGCAGAATATATACGGTGTATATATATATACCGTATTGGTTTACAGGTGGGGGAAGTGCTTTTCGCGCGTTACACACGGCGCCTCTCTTCATTAAACCAATGGCACCATATAGACACACTAAACAGTGCATGCTACTTAATGTGCCAATATTGTAGCCCGTAGAACCGTTTCTAGGTAACGGCTGGGTAAACACGTTCTCACAGCTACGATTACATATACAACAATAGAGGAACTGTTATGAAAAGTGTTTTCTGCTTGTCTTTGCCAAGGAGTTATAACGGAGGCAATTGGTGGGTCTGTGAAGAGAGGACTTGAACGCGTGAAGCTGAAGAATCTTCACTGTTAGAAGCCATTGCCAGGAAATGGCTGGTGACGACAGACACAGAGGACTAGTAAAGACTCAGCGGGTGCTGTGGTGATTTGTAAAGTGTGGAGATTACAGATGGGGCTGTAATTGATTGTAGTTCTGAGTCGTGTTAATGGTCAGTAAATCCAGCCATCCAATCCAAAACCCATGTATATTCACTCCATATTATGTGACAATATATTTGTGCGGAAACGGTTGCTACTGGTTCTGAGAAGTGGATGCTACGAGCTTGTTTCAGCAACACGGCTGAAAATCCTCAAACGGATAAGTCGGCGCGTTGTGAACTGCGCTTTTAGAGCTTATATATTTGTCGTATTTATTTACATGTTAGTATTCCAGATATTATGAATGAAGTATAGCAAAATTTAAGGTGGGCCCTACTGTCCTGGCACTTGGTGGAAAATCGAAAACAAAAATATATCGGCTGTACAAAATATACATATTGCTTTCCGGAAGATTGAGAGAAAGGTGAAAGTATCCTTATACGAAGGAGAGTCAGTAAATAGGGCACAAATGAATATAAAACGTAAAACATGTGATAATCGAACCTGGATAATACATTTACTTTTCTACACCATCTCCACCAACATTGATACACTTGCCCCATCGCTTTACCAGTGCGTCGAAACCCGCAGAATAGAAGTATTTTGACTGTTATCTCAGCCAATTCTGCACTTCCGTTTCAACCTTGTCATCAGCGAAACATGTGCCAAGTTTCTGCATACAATTTTGAAACGATTTACGTTGATAGATATTCATTCATTCATCAGTAATCTGTCAGACGACAGGTCCACAGTCTCTTCCAAAACAATTCCTCCACTTGATGCGATCTAGAGCTTTCTCCTTCAAATGAGAATATCCTCTTCTGTCTCCAAGGTCATCCAGCATCTTCTTAGGTCTTCTGGTTCGCATACATGGTGTCTCTGTTTTTGGAAAGAGACTATCCAGGAAAAGTGATAATGTGGTAGTTTTTCCATTTGCTTTCCACATCGCCGTACAACAGCCGTTCAAACCACTCTGGTCACGCCTGTTGCTATACGAACTTGAACCATCTCGAGCATCATTTGCTCTGTGCTTCAAGTCGCTGCTGATGACGCTGCTTCCGGCATCAGTTTTTGGTTTTTGGTGTCTCTCTTCGTCTGATGCCTACCCTTTGACCTGTCCAGCAAGGGAGGCCCTGCCAGTAGCTACGCTACCACTGGTATAGCTCTCAGGGTCCTTGGCATACTCAAACTCCCTCACCACGATAAGGTGGAGACACCAACGAGGGGGTTGATAGATATATCCCACTGTAAAGAGGAAGCACTTTTTTTGTGAATATCCTTTGCATTGAGTCCATTTGCCCAAAGAAAACGCTGCTTTTCGGTAATATACTCCTCAGGCACGGTGGCCATTTTGACTACTGAAACCAGTATCCGAACATGCATGTACGCGTCTGCTACCTAGACTGTCATGAAGCTGGATTGTGCTGCTACGTAGTGATATTCATAGAAAATATATTACATCCATTACAGCTGTTTTACTTCCAAATGTAACATGTTTACTGACTCTCCCTCGTACATAAACAAGTATATAACACATAAAATTTCTTATTTGCTGTGTCAAAAAACCAAAAACATAGACCTACCTACAATTCCTGCACTACACACTTTGCTACTTACACATTATCGGATGACCCAAGTATCTTTAATATTGTAGACATGCTGTTCGCCATGTTGTTTTCCATGTTAACGCTGCCAATTATAGATATTTATTTGCAAAACCAAAACCTAAACTATAACCTTAGAATGTTTTAAAATATTAGTTTCTAAAACCAAAGGAAACACAAAAGCAATTCAAAACAAAACCAATGACCTCAGTTTGTGGACTTGATAATGGGGGTAAAGTATAAGGTTAGTCTTTGGGTATAGTTCTCACAAATAAAATTGTACGCTTTACATCGCTAACGTAGCGAACAATATTGGGATAATATTTTAAAAGTTGCTTGGGTTCCGTTTTAATATATAAACTCTTAGAATATGTCTTTAACATGACGCGTCTGAACACACACAAACATCGGCCTATCTACAAATTCTGAATCACAAATTTGATTTACTTCATTCTGGTCCGTCACACTAATATTATGAAAAAGTTAAATAGTTCCGTCCAGTGTGACTGGTCGCATTGTCATACTTTCGCACTGGACGGAACTATTTAACTTTTTCACTGGATTACAAATATTTAAGTGTTAACAGTCGCGGATATGTCGACGTTGTGAAGTTTGAGGTTACATATGGCAGATGTGACGTTATGTGGGGTGTACCAATTACACGTAAATCATTGCGTTTCATAAACAGCAGTTCATAAATCGTGCTAGTTTCACAGTGCTAATTGAAGGATGTAATGGGATGTGGGCGTCTTCAGGAACAAAGTCGCAAAGATGGTCAAGATATTCTAAGTCTTCTAATTCAGAAGTTAAATGCCGTGTTCACTAGAGCCGGACATTCGCTGTTTAACCATTAGCCTTACCTTAAACTAAGACTTCCACAAGTTTTATTGCTTTGTAATTCCATTACCAGTTTCATGTACACCGTATGTTTAATTGTAAACTAACGGGTTTTAATTTACATTTGCCACCATGTTAGTTATAACGCAAATCCGAAGGAAAGAAACATTTTGTGAGACCTATGCACTGATGCGAGCATAATTTTAATATGATCTCTAAGAAATAGGATGTTTGGTTGTGGACTGGATTTATCTGGACCACGTCATTGTCTAACGGCAGGATTTTACGAACACGGCAATATATTTTCTGGTTCCATAACAGGTGGAGAATTTTGTGAGCGGCTGAGAGGTTCTGAACTCCTGAAGATGGAGTGTGCTTGATTAAGTTAGACTTTATATTGGTAAGGAATATTCAGAATCCCCGTTATAAGGATGTAATATTAGCCTTGTCCGTTGTCTACAGTGTATTCGGCAAACACGACGTTTCGCCAATTCTGGCCTATTGTACCTGCCCCAGATGATAGGTGAGAGCGATTGTGGAGCAATTGGTGGAATGAAGATTGGCAGGGGAAACCGAAGTACTCTGAGAAAACCTGCCCCAGCGCCACTTTGTCCGCCACAAATCCCACTTGACCAGACCCGGAATCGAACACGATAGTAGCCGGTCGAATTTCTGATATACTGTGTTTGTTGAATATACCACGGACAACGGACAATATATGTCATATTATTATAATGGGTCGAGCATTGTCAAATATCTTTTAGACATTCATTATAATTCTCTTTCATATATCTAAATGTGTAGTAAATGATGGTGAGGGTTCGGATCCCGGCAGTAGCAAAATTTTCTGTTCTCCCACAGCGTCCAGACCAGCTCTAGAGCCCACTTAGCTTACTATCCAATGGATATGGGGGGAACTTTCCCGTGGGGTAAAGCGGCCGGCGCGTGAAGCTGGCCACTCACCTCCATCTAGTAACGAGGTCAAGGATGGTGGAGTTATACCTCCACTCCCCCTATGTCTTCATGGCACAATGTTTAATTAAGTACAGGGACAGTATTACCTTTATCTCTTCATTTACCTCAGTACAGGATGAGGATAAATTACTTGCGAGTGTATGAAGGCTGAAGAATACTATTTTCTGAGATGTGACGCCGTACAAATCTGTAGAAATTTACTGATATCTGGGAGAAATGTACTACCCCCATTTCAGAGTTCGAAGATGCAACGAGCGTGAAGCATACAGTAATCAGAGATTGTGTAGTGCCTCTTCATCGATTCTTTCCCTTCTTCAACCCTGAAGATGGAGGCAGTACGTTCCTCCGAAACTTCGTCATTCTAGATTAGGTGACGTGACATCGTAGAAGTGCTCTTCGTTGTCACCGTTTTGAGAACCTCAAATCCAACTCTGTATAAAGTTCTTTCAAACGGCACATTAAACACAACAATAGCATTCAGTAAGGCAAAGTAGAAAGAGCATTTGTTTATTTGTGCAGTTTTATTGCAATAAAACTGCACAAATAAACAAATTTGGATACGATAGTACCTATTTTGTCATATTGGGTATTATTGTTATAATTGTGTTCACTGCCCCATTTGAAAGTACTCTAAGACACAGAACGGGATGCGTACTTTGAAATTTTATAAAGCTATTCTTACAACTCACACTCGTACGTGTTTAAGTCTGTTACTATTTTGTTTGTATATTTCACTAAATTCCGCGTTAATTATATATTTAATCGGTGTTACCTATTGGTATAGTTTAAAATGGACTGTTACCTTGCTACCAGCACTTTCCTGACAAACTCTGCATTCAATTATCACGAAGTATATTACTTGAGATGTAGAACTGAGCAATTATTTTCAGTCTTGTAATTCTGAACCACTATAAGACACTACGACACATGTCTACACTGTTAATATTTGTGTCACTATGACCACGCGCGAACTCACAGTCCAACGCCGCACTGTTCCGCCGATACTGGTATGAGAGCATGTACGTTGCGGTCGGCCGGCTGAGGGCGCACTTGTTGCTGCCGCTGTGTCCTGACTCCCTGACACTCCCACTGCCTCCTCCGAGGCGATGTCACGCAACAACGCGCATGCCTGAATTGTGTACAGAGAGTGCTTCTACACTTAACGCACACAAACACGTCTCAGCCCTGATTACGTTTACAGTGTATCAACACATATGTCTGAAGATTTGTCTGCTGGGATTTGACGCCGTGTAGTCCTGTAGCTCACCGACCTTTAGGAGAACATACAGCCTCCATCTTCAGAGTAGAGTTTACTGTATGTATCTTATTTGTTGCTTACTTGGCTTTTCTTCCATCCTGAAGATGGAGGCAGTAGGTTCCTCCGAAATGCCGGGCATCACATACTGCAAGACGCCAAGACTTCTTACCTTTCTTTAGCTTTACGTATTATCCTCTCTGGCTTGTTCCTATTCAGGATAAGTTTCTTAATTTATTAATCTTTTAGAAGCTTGACGAGCCCCATTTGACGGGGATTGGTACATCGGATGGTCTCTACTTGCACAGGACTTCACAAAACAGAGTAAACTCACACATCAGTGCTTCGAATTGTATTTGAATCCACGATCCCAGCGTTCGAGCGGCCAAAGACATTACATGTCCATTAGACCACACAGCCCCTGAAATAAACTACTACAATTTATTGTCAATATTTATGTATTTATCGATTTGTATACTTGTGTATATCCAGCTAGTGATTTTAGGAGTATAATTTCTACGGAGTAAACTGTACTTATTCTGTATGTCATCTCAATATTTATATAAGTGGCTCAAACCCTGGACCGGAGCTGGGACAGTTGCAGTTAGAAACCGTCTACTGAATTTCAGAATGCACGCGGTAGCTTAGTTGGTTGAGGCACTATGCCTCAGGTCGCAGGATCGAATCTCGATGAGGTGGATTTTTTGCAGCTTACCTAATCCTTCCAGCCGCACTATAGCCCTTGGTCGACCCAGCCTCTAACAGAAATGAGTACTAGGAATATTCTTTGGGTTAAAGAGCGGCCGGCGCGTAAGACTGACAAACTTACCGCCATCTATAAGCCGATTTTCTAGAAAATGTGGGAGCCTCGACTTCTCACAGCCCTATGGACCTCCACCGCCTGTTACAGGGATACCATTGCTTTTTTTTTTAACTTTGAGGAAACTATTTCCAACTCTCCTTCCCAGCAACGATATGTAGGAACAAATCAGCAAGCCTGCACTGTAATAATATCTATTTATTATCTTCATTATTTGCATCCTGTTGTGTTATCGTATATGGCATTCTTATTGTATCAGTCAACACAGCATTTGTATAATAAACAATTTAATACTACTGCATTGGGATTCGATTATTGTGTGGAACTATTGCTACAGGATTCGACCCCTCTCGGATCATTATCTGGCAGTCATTATGGATATGTCACTTGTTACTGGATTATTTATCGATATGGATCCTGATCGGTGATATAAATTTTAGTTCGATATGTTTTATAATTTTAAATTATAGATTTATTTTAAAAGTAAAATAAAGATAAAATTCTCAGCATAAAACATAAATCAGAAGATCTATATAAATTTTATACGCGAAAGACTTATACAGTATCCGTTTGAATTCCTCTTTTAGCAAAACGAATCACTTATTCATAAACCATGAAGACGTTATTGAGGTTTTGTGCCTTCAGGTGGTATTTATGAAAGTTTCCTTTATTTCTACAGTGAAAATGTAGTGTGTTTGTTAAACTACATAAATAGAAATGTAAACGGAGTTTAAACGCTAGAATGATAAGTTAGCAGCTTTCATTTGGTCTACACATTTCCTTAATTGGACCTTCTCGGTTCAGTTTTATCATTAACAGTGATACACCTCTTTTTGGTTTCAATTAATTAATTACCCTGCGAACCTATGTGCAATGTCCAGAGATCAGGATTTTGGGCCACATTTGGTAACGTTTGATTGATTGGCAGCAAAGTCGCAGTAAGAACAGTCGAATTAAAGACAAGAAATAAATATTTAAACATTTGTTTACTTTATAATTATTAATAACGATTTATTACTATTATTAATAGTAATATACAGCTCATTTTTTTCCTTATTTTGCAGGTCTCAATTTAATGTTAATTTGAATATTTCATGTTTTAGAACTGAGGCTTTCATCTTATGAACAAACTTCATCTTCAGAGTAATGACATCTCTAAGATTAATGTTGTTTACATTTTGTTTTTTCTAGTGCAATGTGTCTCCATTTTCTTTATTTGTAACTCAAATACAAACGTCTGTATTAAGATCAAGTAAATACATAAAGTATTAATACTACATTAATGAAAACCCTTAAGAATACAAACACGGAACATTTTAAATAGGGAGTACACGTAGGAGGGGATATTTGAGAGCAGAGGGAGTGCTCGAGAAAAAAAAAAGCTTATGAAACATCGGCTTAGGATATGATGAGGGGACATATATTGAGCCGGGATAGCTTAGTCGGTATAGCGACTGCCTACGGGCTGGACGACCGAGGAGTCGGAGTTCGAGTCCCAGTAAAGTCAGAATTTTCTCTTCTCCATATCGTCCAGGCCGGCGCTGGTGCCCATCCAGCCTCCTATCTAATGTGTACCAGGGGTAATGCGGCTGGGGAGTGAAGGTGACCATTCACCTCCAGCTGTTACCAAGGTCAAGAAAATGTGGATCTATACATCCACTCCTCCATACGCCTTCAAGTCGTAGTGCATAATTAGTTAAGCGCAGGGCAAACTTTACCTTTTCTTACCTTTTTGGGGGGTAGGTGTGTTGTATGGTAATTAACTAGAAAGGATTAGATTTCTGTGGTGCTGTTTCGTCTAATAATTATCTGTTTATGGATGAAACTGAACCTACAATCGCTTATTGATAATTAAATTTCGATGTATTAGAATATCCGTGAGATATTATTATTATTGTTTTGTTTGTCCATAATGTAATTACCTGTATCTAAACAGCGCTGTAACCGGTCACGGTAGCTGAGCGGTCTAAGGCATGTACTGTCTTCGCTGTCTTGGAAACCGGGATCGTGGGTTCGAATCCCACTCAGGGCATGGATGTTTAGTTTGTGTGTGTGCGTTTTTCTGTGTTTGTGTACACGTAGAGGTCTTGCGACGAGCTGATCACCAGCCCAAGGAATCCTACCGAATGTGTAAGATCTAGAAAGACCGAAGTGAACGGAGAAGTTCATGGAGGTAGGCCTAGGCCCACTGGGGCTGTAGTGCCAAGGAAAAGAAAAACAGCGCCATGCGTGTAATTGGCCTTGTGGCTCTTGACTCAGCACATAAATTATAAAGGATTTAATTATTATTATTATCACGTGTTGGGTATCTGACGCCACAAATAACTTCACGTCGTTTTGGATGTAGCGAATTTATTGAACATTCGTTCTTACATTTACACAATTCACAGTTTCACAATTACTGCAAGCTGCAGTATCACATTTACTCCTCCTGCTGTAGTTACTACCATTCACTCGATACAACTCAACTCGTAGCTGCTGGACTTCAGCTCATACTGAATACGAGTAACTGGCTTCATACTCACTACTAGAAACTCTCTCGTAACTCAATACTCAATAATCCAAGTTATGTAGTTTCAGCACTGACAACACAGAAAACAGTTACGTGACAGCTACTACTGTTGCGTGACGTTTACCGATTGTCAAAAAGTCGCTGCACGGCGTCCCCTGTTGCGTGACGTCACAGCCTAGCGGGGAGGGGTGTTTACCGAGCGTTGCGTAATGATGGGAGGAGTGGGGGTACGTGACATCACTCGTGGAAACGCAGAGTTCATGTGACCCCTACTTCCTCTTGCACCATCCACGTCACATTATTATTATTATTGTTACTTGTTGTTATTCCTGTTCCATGCCATTTCTAGGCATAAAATTGACAAAACACGTCTTTCTTGATGACTTTCTTAGTAAATGTCAATGATTTTTTTTGCATTCTGTGTCACTCGAGACCAAACTTAAGTTAAGAGTGTTCTGTTATCAGGATTTATACACGTAATGTTAGCAACTGGGGCTACTGATCTCCTTTCTTTACTGAAATAATATATTATTTTCTTTTTATGACCAAAATATTATATTACCGGTAATTTTTTGTATACTTCAGCGTCTAGAGGTTACTTCTTTTTTTTATTACTAGTGGGGTGGGACTAAGTCCCTTGTACTGCGGCCAATTCTGGCATATTGTACTAGCCCCAGATGATAGGTGAGGGTGACTATGGAGCAATCGGTGGAATGAAGATTGGCGGGGGAAACCGAAGTACTCGAAGAAAACCTGCCCAAGCCCAACTTTGTTCACCACAAATCTCACTTGACCAGACACTTGATCGAATCCGGGCCGCCGCGGTGGGAAGCCATCGACTAACCGCTTGAGCTATGGCGCCGCCTCTTTTAAAACCTACTCAGTTGGGTCCAATAGACAGAGCTAGCCCCTATCTCCGGACCTGCTTTAAATATTAGAATACATTAAATCATGAACTTCTAGAAAGATAAAATTAAGTCTGCTTGCTATCTGTTTCATGCTGCTTTATTGGTTGACTTAACCGTCCGTCTGGCCGCGCCATAGCTAAAGCGGTTAGTCGCTAGCTTCCTACCGCGGCGGCCCGTGTTCGATTCCGGGTCTGCTCAAGTGGGTTTTGTGGAGGACAAAGTGGCGCTGGGGCGGGTTTTCTCCGAGTACTTCGGTTTCCCCTGCCAATCTTAATTCCACCAAATTCTCCATCATCATAATCACCCCGTGCAGGCTACAATAGGCAAGTCAGTGGCCGCCGTGCCGAATGGACCTAGTTGGACTCCCCCCCTCCCACTAAGCGAATTAAAAAAATGTAATCTTTTGTCTTGAAAATTGAGACAATAAATTCCTCCGGAAAGTTAATTGACTTTCGAAAGACCACATGGCATTGTCCCAGGAGACAGAACTGTTAATAAATAGTATATTGTTCTAAATATTCATATCCACAAATGGATGGAACACACAAACATTA